AATTCCACTGCTGAGTGATTGGGAATGGATAGTATCCCTTGAGGACGGCATAGCTCGTGACATATGTTGGCATACGCCGTCTGAATTTTAAAATTAATATTATCATATTTTTTATTTTAATTTTAATTATTTTTTTTCATTTTTTTACTGTTAAGTGAGGTGTATATCTTATTTTTTGTACTGTTTTGAAGTGAATTTTTATTTCTCGAGTATCAAATATATTGCTATGACAGTTATGTATTTTTATTTCTCGAGTATCAAATATATTGCTATGAGAGTTATGTTACAAACAACATTACTATACAGGAGCATAATGGTCATTTGTTCAGAAACAGATGTCGCGCAGCAATTTTCAAACAGCAAAAAACAAACAGTCAGTCAGCTTCCACGCAGCAGCTACCACAGGAAGCTGCTGCGCAGTAACTTATTGATAAGCTGCAGCTGCCCAAAACAGACTCAGAATCGCCTAATAATAAAAGCACCTATATTTCGTGAAAAATAATAAATAAAAGAGCTGCAAAAGAACAAGAATGTATCTAAACATAAATTCCTAGTCCAGTAGCAATGGTAACAGTTTAAACATTAAAAGAAGCTAATGATAAATCCTACTATCAAAAATTTTGTCTACAAAAGGTGACGAATTGGGAAATACTCAAAACATTTAAAACAAATAAATCAGAGGTGATGCAATAAATATAGCAAAAAATACTGATAAAGAACCAACCATCCACGAGTTTGATCAATGCCCTCTGCAACAAAATGGCCAGGGAAGTTCTTTTCAAAAAGTTCAACATTCTCAAATGGATAGTGAATATAGGCATAGGGCATAGACCCACTCTCAAACCAGCAGTCAAATACCTGCATCCACGACAGTTACAATTCAAATGAAAAAATAAACAAAATAAAATAAAATAAAATAAAACAAGAAACATGGACAAATCTATTAAGAAGGCTTTGTGTAATCAGAAAATAAAAAATAAATGAAATTATATACAACATAGAAAGTTTACATATCGTTCAAGCATTACACTATAAACTCATTCAAAGGGTAAAATTCTTATTTCAGCAGTTGTCTTGATCAGGGAGTAAAATATTATGATTAATTAACAACATCTTCACTACTTCCCAAGATAAAAAGCAGACAAGAAAAAAAAACAAAAAACATGGACATATACACCATAGTAAATGTATATTGTTCAAGCATTACTCTATAAGATCATACAACTGGAAAAATTATTATTTAAGCAATTGTCTTGGTCAAGGAGTGAAATATTACAGTTAGTTATCAACATCATCATTACTTTCCAAGATAAAAAGCAGACAAGAAACTGAGCATCCATATTTAAGCTAAAAGCACTAGAAAATGATATAAAATCATTAAAATCATGATCACAGCGCTTCGCTGCAGAGTATGCATAAATGTTGCATCGCTTGTGATACAAAAGCTCCTTTCAGAAGATAATCAGATGTTAAATAGTATAATGCGAGCCAACTGCCTTCCACCAAAAACAAGCACACACAACTACGTACTGACTTGAAGGTGCTCACAAAGCGATAAAAAAAATGACACAAGCAAAGCAATTTATCGCGTCAAAACAATAAAAAATAAAAAAAAATTGACTGTTTAAAAAGGTAAGTAATTAATACATACCTTTCATCATCAAACAGGAGTGCAATGATATATTAACATATTAATTCAAATCATTCTCATGTATTTGGAATAAAAGTGCGATATAAAAAAAAATACAAGTATCAGGAGACAAACAAGAAATGGATATACATGGTAATTTCTTCTGAACATAGAACTCACATCATCGACGCGCTGTAGCACACCAAACTCAGGACCTCGCCCAGAAGGAATAGTAATATGGTCTATATGGTGGCGATGCAAATCAGTGACCTGGTGCAAACACAAAAATATAACATCAATATGTTAAACATGATTTTTTCAAATAACTGATCACTAATGAATTACATGAAACTCAATCTGTGGATTATATCTTTCTTTACAAATATTAAGAAACGACAAAACTATAGCAAGGAAAATGTGGTGATCTTTTCAAGCATAAAGGGGGGGGAAAGTTGTCAAACGCATAAGAGAAGATGACACAAAAAAGCAAAAAGGAAAACCAAAGATTGAAAAAACATTTTCAATGAAGGAGAGAAGCTGCAAGAAACTGACCTTGATACCAGACAACTTTTCAAGTTTAGCAATGGAATCTATGACAACTTTTTCAACGCCATCCTTGCTAACCCAAATTGGAAGAGGGGTGCCCCAAAAACGACTTCGGCTGACAGCCCAATCACGTGCATTCTCAAGCCAGTTGTGAAATCTTTTCTCCTGTAATCATGTCAGCTATCAATATTCTTCAAACATAGAGAAATACTAAGTGCAAGTGATGAAAATGAATGAACAATATAAATGAATGGAAACATACAATAGCAATTGATAAAATAGCAACTTATTTACATTCCATGAGACCAATCATCAAAATTTAGCATAACTAATGATGATTATTACAACCAATGAAATAGCTGCAAACAGGTAAGAGAATCCATTTCAAACACATTACTGATAAGCAATGCATGTTAAGCAAAATGACATATTAAGCTTTTAAAGCTCCTCCACAATGTATTTTGAAAATTAAGATCAGGATTCATGCTCCCCATATGCTCAACATAGACTTCACTATTAATATAAGACTTTTTAAAATATAGAATCTTGATTCCAGGGTAGACAAATATTAAGCATGTTTCTCGTCTTTCAGGTCACTTCACTATTTAGGACATATAACCAATATTTTCTTTTACACTGCCAATTTTGCTTCCCGATATCAAATACTGAAATTCAGGAGAAGGAAAAAATATACTTGTACAATTCATATCAATCATAATTTTATTGATTAATAATAAGTTGCAGGAAAGTTTAGAAATCGAGAGAACGAGTTATATACCTAATAAGCTGGTGAGGTTGATAGTTCTAATACCAGATAGTTCTAATACCAAATAATTGCAATACTGAACCATCGACAATTAGCTTGCATAAATCTTTAAGCACAGAAAAAGACTAAAATAAAGAGGCATTTTCTATCATAAAAACCAAGATTTCTATTTCAGACACTAAATTCATTCAAGATCAAAGCTTTTTTAGAAACTAAATTGATGTCTATTTTGACTTATGTGGGTTTTTGAATTAGTTGGATAATCAACATATTAGAGAAGATTTCATAGATATCAATGTTAATATGGGATCTTGATTCAGAACAAAAAAATGAAACCAAAGAAGATTCTTTCCAAGGCCCTTTCCATTTGACCATCATGTTTACAAAAATACTAATACTAATAATAATAGAGAAAATAATAATAATTTAGAGGAGGTTAAGGAAGAATTTAAAAATCTAAGAGGATGAAGATAGAGAAAGACAGCTCTATTAACAAGCTGAGAAATTTAAAAAAATTCTACATTCCATGGTACCAATAAGTGCAAGATTTATAGTAAATACAAACAAAATAAAATGAAAATATGACACTAAAACAGGACGCAATGGAGAAAAAGGATTCATGTAGCCGACCCCACATAGTGGTGGGATTAAGGCTTTGTTGTTGTTGTTGTCGTCGTACAAACAAAACATAGTGGGATTAAGGCTCTGTTGTTGTTGTTGTTGTCGTCGTACAAACAAAATACGAGCATAGAAAGAAATAAATTAGAAAAAAATAGCAAAATGCAAATCAAAATATGAAACAAAGATAATATTTCTATATGGAAAGCAGTAGATTGAGAGAATTATCCCAATATAAATGGGAACCTAAATTCCCAGAGTCAGTACTTCCAGAACTAGAAATTCCAATGTAAATACATCAGGAATTGTATAAATTTCCTACTTTCAAGGGCGTAAAAATTGAAGAAAAAATATCTAGAAAGCTGTTGAGATCTTCAAAGGCTAGCTAGGAGATCCATTACAGCACTGCAAATTCTAAGAAGTATCCTGTAATTCAGAAAAATCAACCCAATGCCAAAATGGAACCTTTACTTGTAGAGAGCACTTCAACACCTTTGTTTCCTGAATAATTGCTGTGCTGACTTCCAAAAATAACTACATGATTTTGAGTATCAATCGCTTAGCAGAAATTCAAGAGGTTGTAAGTGCTAAAATCATCTTGAATATCAAAAGATAAAAATGTATCACCTAGCGTCTAGGACTTTAATATCTGAATCCAGCTCATCCAGAGACCCAAAACATTGTAGAAACTAGATGGTAAATTCATTAACTTACCAATAATAATATATTAATTAAGTTTTAAATTATGGAAAGCTGTAATTTCCAGAAGCCTACTTCTCAAATTTCTCTCAATTTTTTTTTCCTGAAAAGTCTATTAATCTTCAGAACAGAAGCCTACTTCTCACAATTCTCTCAATTTTTTTTTCCTGAAAACTCTATTAATCTTCAGAACAGCATAATGATTCACTCCAAGGTAACTAAAACCATCTTCCATCCATATTAACGGTAAACAGTTTTTTTTTGCACATTGTATTATGTGTCTTACATGCATGGATCAATGTCAATAATTACATCAGAAATACATCACATAACAGCATAATGATTCACTCCAAGGTAAGTTTTAAAAACATTAGTTTCATTAGTAATAACTAAAATTATGTAAGATATTAAAGCATAACTAAAACCAACTTGCATCCATATTAGTTGACAGTTTTTTCACACATTGTATTATGTCTTACATGCATGGATCAATGTCAATATTTACATCAGAAATACATCACATAACAGCATAATGATTCACTGAAAGGTAAGTTCTAAAAACATTAGTTTCATTACTAATAACTAAAATTGTGTAAGATATTGAAGCATTACTAAAATCATCTTGCATCCATATTAATGGTAAACAGTTTTTCGCACAGTGTATTAATGTCAATAATTACATCAGAAATACACACATAACAAAGAAAGAAATACATCATTTGATAGGCTAAAAAGTGCAAACCTTGACATATTCGGGAACCCAGTATGTCTGTTTGTTACATTCCAGTAATTGATCTTTAATCTTTTCCACAGCGACGAACCTACAGAAGATTTTCATATGAATATAAAATATCAAGCACAAAATAACAGTAAAATCAAGTTCTAATGTGCAATGTCAACTATTCAGCAGCAGCAACTCAACCTTTATCATAATTTATGAAACTACATTTGAGTTTAAATAAAATCAGAAATACTAACAAGCCAATAACTAAAAATGCATAAGAATTTTGGTCAATAAAAGAATTCGCAAAAATAAGAAATCAGGACGTCACATCAGTATATGGAAATAAATCCTTTTTTCTTTTCTTTTTTTTTTCTTTGAGTTGCTGTCAGTTCCCTTCCTCATAGTTGAGCGTCACGAAAATAACAGATTGATAGAAATATGAAAATAAGCTGAAAACAGAATATAGTGCTCAAATGATAAATATATTTTCATATAGCTTCACTTCAAACGTCATTCACAAACTGAAGAGAAAACATGATTGAAAATGCATAGATTGAATTTAAAATTCAATATTGCCATTGTTCAAAAGGTCACAATTTAGAAGTTCAAAAACCTAAAGGTGGGAGACGAAACAATAATGCCCTTACCAGCTTGGGACAGCCCTGTAAATAAGAGGAGTGTCAGACCTCCAACAAAAAGGGTAAGAATGTGTGATACTTCCGACATTTACAAGCCTGTCTTTTGCCTGTCATGCTCAATTCAAAGCAAAATTTAACTGTCAGCTACAATAAAGATAGTTATATTTAAAATGCCATTCATACGATACAGCTATTGGCAGCAAAAGAAACAAGTGAAAATTAAATAAATAAATAATCTTCAGAAGGCATTTCTTCACCCATCATTAGGTCACATGATAAAATAGCAATTGCCAATTAATTCAATCATAACATTAAATTTAAGGAAGATTTACATACAAACCACTCAATTCTAATTTATTTACATATCTAACACCTAAACTTCAACTTTTACATGCATACCATTTGACCTATGCATAAAAAGGTCTGTTTCAATTTTTCAAAATTTAAATAGTGTTGCTTTCAAGGTGATATAAAAGATTGGGAGGTACAAATTTATAAAGTAAAGTTTAGGTTTTAGATAAAATACATAAGAATTCAATCCCATGATTTTTATGTATATGTTTAGGTTGAATACCTAAATTTCATTTTTTTGTATTTATAACAACTAATTATTTTATATCAAAAAATACCACTTTAATTAAAAAAAAAGGTTAATACACCTTTTAACCCGTTAATACGTATAGAAGGTAGCATATATATATATATATATATATATATAGGTGGAAAATTGTTTTAAAGACGCGGTTGTTTTTGATGTTGTTTGCTTTACAGAACCAGCCTTTAAGCTTGCTCATGAAAGTTTTCGATAGATAAGGACTTGGTCTTTTTGTGCTACTATTTTCAATAATAATTCTAATATTTATAGTAAAAACCACTGATAGTAACTAATTTAAATTAACTATTAAAATTAGTTCAATTCAAATTTAAATGAGTTCAAATCAACCAGTTAGCATAATTATAAGTTGTAAATTATTAATTAAAAAGCAAGTAATCTTCAAATTTGCATATTTATAATAAAATCGAGTGTCTCAATGAGAGAAATTAACGAGCTTAAGATTATCATTTTCAATATTATTAAGACACTTAAGATTATTATTTGCCATAATATTAAGGGATTTAAAACTAAAAAAATAATCTATGATAAAATGTACAATCAATAAATAATGTGTGATGGTGTGTTTTATGATTTTAGCTAAATTTATTAAATGTCTCTCCTAAAATTTATACATGGGATCCCCTTAAGCTCCATGTGAAGAGATTGACAGTTGAGAGAGAGTTTCGAGGCTTGAAAATTTCTAGAATTCCAAGAATTTTAGAGCTTTACCCAACATCTAACACCAACAACCGCCACCAGTTAGTTATCGTTGTCTAATCAGCATTATCCAACATCACTCGATCACTATAACAAGATTACCATCAACCAACCTTCATTTCTCTTCCACCACTTTTAATTCCACTATAAATATGAGCGATCAAGTTCTGGGCATATCACTTTATAATCTCATTTTCTCCGGTTATGGAAAAATCAAAACTTTGTAATTAATCTCATATAATAAATCATATCATCTAGGGTAGATCAAGTGATTTTTTCCATCATGGTTTTTCCACTTAAAAATTTTAGCATCCTATATTCTTTTATTTTACTTATTTGTGTGTCAAATACTTGTATAATACTAGGATGTAAAGCTCCCATTTCAATCTTGATTTTTTTAGGAAGTAATAATTTTAACATTGTAAAAATGATTTTAAATATATAAAATAAATCGAGATTAGCATGTATAATAAGATTTTTTTTTTGCACAAAGCTTGCCTGACACAGCTTCCGTTTTCTTTTCTGCCGCCCCCCCATCCTTTCGTTTTCTACTCCCTTCCTATTTCATCCATTGTCTTTTCTAGTTCCTTCCTATCCCATCCCTTTCTTTTTATATTTCTTGTTTCTTAACCAATTATATATAGGATACTTTGCCTGCTTAGAAGTTAGTCTTGAATTATCTCTGATTTTCATATTTCTGCCTCCGGTCTTTCTCCCTTTCGAGGTTTATATCTGACTGTGAGAAGGTGTTGCGGCTATAACTCGTTCGAGGTGTTGACTATCTTCCATTGTTCTTTTCCTTTTTGTTGTCGCCTGCTACCTAGCACTAGTAAAATCGTCGTCGGCCACCACTTGCACCCTCCCTGTTGTTGTTCACCGCCAATCTGACTGTGAGAAGGTGTTGCGGCTATAACTCGTCCGAGGTGTTGACTATCTTCCATTGTTCTTTCCCTTTTTGTTGTCGCCTGCTATCCAGCACTAGTAGAATCGTCGTCGGCCACCCCTTGAACCCTCCCTGTTGTTGTTCGCCGCCTTCAATAATTGTCATGCTACCGCCAGCCCCTCCAGCGCCTTCCCTGTTGTTGTTCGCCGCCTCCAACAATTGTCCTGCTACCGCCGACCCTCCAGCGCCTTCGCTATTATCGTTTGTCGCCTCCAACCCCAGTTCTGCTGCAATCAATCACCTCCATCCCCAATCCTGCTGCAACCCGTCACCTCCAACCCCTACCCCGCTGCTGGTAGACACCTTCAGCATACCTGTTTATACAATATGTCTAATTCTTTCTTGGAGTCTACTTCTGTCTTTCTTAACATAAGTTGAATCTAAAACATCTATTTTCCAAATTGGATCATCAGATAGTCGACGTTTGATGTGACCAAACCATCAAAAAGCCACAAAAAAAACACATAAACGAATGAGTTATATTGGAAGAGTGAAACACCAGTGATGCATTAATGCATACCATCTACACTCAAGACATCGACTCACCATTATCATGTGAAATTATTATATTGGATGATTAACACACAATAAACAGAGATGGATCACAACTTCTACCAAATTGCAAATATCCATCAACTTTAAAACTCCATTTAATGCTTAAAATCATACAACTACAATAAGCCTTTATCCCACTAAGTGGGGTTGTTACATGAATCCTTCTTTTTCTATTGCATCTTACTGAGTGTTATATTTTCATTTAATTCTAATAAATTAAGATCAATTTTTATACAATATGTCTAATTCTTTCTTGGAGTCTACTTCTGTCTTTCTTAACATAAGTTGAATCTAAAACATCTATTTTCCAAATTGGATCATCAGATAGTCGACGTTTGATGTGACCAAACCATCAAAAAGCCACAAAAAAAACACATAAACGAATGAGTTATATTGGAAGAGTGAAACACCAGTGATGCATTAATGCATACCATCTACACTCAAGACATCGACTCACCATTATCATGTGAAATTATTATATTGGATGATTAACACACAATAAACAGAGATGGATCACAACTTCTACCAAATTGCAAATATCCATCAACTTTAAAACTCCATTTAATGCTTAAAATCATACAACTACAACAAGCCTTTATCCCACTAAGTGGGGTTGTTACATGAATCCTTCTTTTTCTATTGCATCCTACTGAGTGTTATATTTTCATTTAATTCTAATAAATTAAGATCAATTTTTATACAATATGTCTAATTCTTTCTTGGTGTCTACTTCTGTCTTTCTTAACATAAGTTGAATCTAAAACATCCATTTTCCTAATTGGATCATCGGATAGTCGACGTTTGATGTGACCAAACCATCTAAGAAGACTCTCTAATTTTGTCTGCTACTGGAGCTACACCAACCCTATCACAGATATATTCATTTTACATTTTGTCTCTAAGTGTAAAGTCACTCGTCCACCTAAGCATTCTCATCTCGACAACACTTAAATTGTTTTATACTTCTCTTTTGAAGGCCAACATTCTGCACCATAAAGCATTGCAGGTCTCACCACCATCTTATAAATTTTTCCTTCCAATCTAAGCAAAACTTATCGATCACACAATATTCCTAAAGCATTCCTCCATTTCAAACAACTGACTTAAATTCTACTAATAGCATCCCCATCTACAGCACTATCACTTTGAACAATAGACCCGAGATATATAAAGCGTTCACATCTTTTAATGATTTGATCGCCCATATTTACAACTCTAACTAGAGCTACTACTGCTAAAATTACATTCCATGTATTCAGTTTTAGTTTTGCTCAAACGAAGGCCTTTAGAGCCCACTTTAAACCTCCATTCAAGTAATTCCTGAGCTCTTTCTCTAGTTTTATCCACAAAAAAGGATATCATTAGTGAAAAGCATACACCAAGGTACATCCTCCTGTAAATGTCCAGTAAGAGCATCCAAAACTATAGCAAAAAGATATGGGCTTAAAAGTCAATCCGTAAACTATAGCAAAAAGATATGGGCTTAAAAGTCAATCTGATCCAACTGAAATAGGAAAATATTAGGTCAATCCTCTTACCAACTGAAATAGGAAAATATTTGGTCAATCCTCTTATTTGAACATAAGTAACAGCTCAAGTATATATATCTTTAATGACTTGAATATAAGTCATATCAGCATTTTTCTTCTCTAGAACTTTCCAAAGAATATCTCTTAGAACCTTATCATAAGTTTTTCCTAGATCAATAAAAATCTTATGTATATCATCTTGATTCTCTCTGTACTTCTTCACCAAACCTTTCTCCACCAAACCTCTAAGAAAATGTATAATTTTCATGGTAAACCTGCCTGACATAAGTCCAAATTGATTATGAGAAATCATTGTAATACATCCTAACCTATGTTTAATTACCCTGTCCCATAATTTTAAAATATGGCACATCAACTTAATTCCTCTATAATTTCCACACTCTTGTGCATCCCTATTATTCTTAAAAATGAGGACCAAAACACTTCCTTGACTCTTCCGGCATCAATTTACTTTTTAAAAAAATATTAAAGCGTTTAGTAATCCAAGAAACTCTCAAATCTCCTAAATACTTCGACACTATACATCAGGGCCTACAAAATTTTCACCCTTAATTTTCTTCAAAGCCTCCTCAGCTTCATTATGCTTAAAATAATAAAAAAGAGGAAAAATTTTGATTTCTCTATTAAGGCCCGTGAGCTTGCCCGACCCGGCTCGGCCTATAGAGTGGATGAGCTTGGCTATGATTTTTTAAATAAAAAATGAGCTGCAGCCCAGCACGAGCCCGTTTTGGCTGATCAAAGACCAAAAAAGCCCGACTCATGCCCAGCCCGA